GTAGGGATGGGATCTTGAAATGCATGACAAGGAAGTGAGCCATTAAAGAGGGAAATCCCACATTTTAACTTTAGAATTAGTGCACTAGATCTGAGGATAGCTTGGATAAAAGAACAAGAGAAAGATGTTGAAAAGAAAGGGATCATGTTGTAAGATTAAGGTTAGGAATAGGAAGAATCAGGGATACGGAATCAGTTAAGATAGACAAAAAGGGCTTGAGAACACATTTTTTACTCAGGCAGACATCTACCCGAAGCAAAGCAAACTGTTGATTGTCTCTTCCCATTCCTTTCCCTTCCAGCTCCTTGGGTAGCCACTCATCCATTGTTTGTATGTATGGACTTCCTGTTTCTGGAAAGGAAATCATATCATGTGTGATCTTTTGTGTCTGGATACTTTCCCTAAGACTAATGGTGGCAAGGTCATCTGTGTTGTTATGTATATTAATACTTTATCCCCACTTTTGTGGCCATTTAAATATATCATTATGTGGATAAGCCACATCTTATTATGCATTCACCCATTTATGAACATTTGGGCTATTTGTATTTCTGCCTTTGGCCATTGTGAATAATGCTGTTATGAATATCTATGTACATGTATTTATGTGTGTGCCATGAAACGTTATAAAAAGTTATAGAACCTCTGCACTCCAACAATTTTGTCTGGATTTTAAATCAAAAAAGTTCATTTCAATAATGCTATAAAAATCATAGTTAAACTTTCATAATCATTCCATTCCATTTTAAGGGGTTTTTCTTTTTAAAATTGAAATTAGATTTTTGCTGGAACATTATAAACTTATATATATATGTACATATATACACAAACATATAAATATATGTGTTTGTATATATGTGTGTATACATTATATTTGTATACGTATACATTTGTAATGTTAATTTATAATAAATATATGTAAATTGATATATGTGTATATATATAATACAACCCCTGAAGCCATCTTGATTAAGTCTCTTGACATTAGTGACTAGAACACTGCCTAGTTATTACGGTGATTATGTGTCAGATGATTTTCCTAGGCCACAAAAACCTCTGTAGTGCTATGCATTCCCTGTAATTACCCAGGGAAGTCTTTGTTCATTGGAGAAAGAGTTGTTCTGCTCACCTGAGATTGAAACTTGAGTATGTTTTTTTTTTTCCTTAACCGTCTTCACAAGATTCATTTAAGTGTAACACTGTCCTTATGCTACAGAAGTTTGGTATTTAATCTACCACTAAGTTCTCACTCCCGTGGGAAGGTAGATTTTTACATTTCAGTACAGTTTGATATTTTAAAATTAATCAATTAAAAAAGCATTAGCATTTTATCCTACATTATTGTTAACATACCTATACACCTAAGCCTTTACTTACCGCGAGCCTCTTTTCACACTGGTCTCTAATTTTTGCAACAATTACTAAAAATCTTACATAATGTCCACCTTTTCCTAGGTTTGACTTTTACTATGTATGCTAGACTGTTATATCTGGAGATTGTTTAGTCTCTTTAAACTGAACACTGAAATCTGATTATAGTCTAATTCTTACAGAAATTTGTTTTTAATTATAAAGCCACCCCTTTATTTGATTATTTTAGAAAACTTTTCTGTTTTTTAATAAACCTCCACAAAGCCTAAGCCATATTATTTCGTTTGTTTTTTAAAAAAAATTTAACAGTAACTATACATGTTTTTGGGTGTGATAGAATATTTCAATACATGTACTCATCAAATAATTATAGTCCCCATGAAACTGTGTCATAAAATGAAATGTAATTAATAAAAAAATTACAGTCAGCATTTCTCCTTTGTTGATACTACTTATCATGGTACCTGGTAACTCCTGTTTTCTATTTACTCATAACATGTAATAGATTATTGTGAACTTTTATCACTGCACAAAGCTATGTAACTCTAGGAACTTACTCCTTGGACCCAACTCTTAGTCAGTATCTGTTTTCTAGACTATATATACATGTTTAAATCCTGTATAATGATCAGTAGTCCTTTATATAATAATCACCATACATCAGTAGCAGGCTGTTAAAAGTTGTTTAGAGGAACCCATGAGATATAGGAGTGAAATCTCAGCATGAGATAATAATACAGCAGGCAAATATTCCAAAGAAAGAATTAAGACAGTGTTACACAGTTCTTAGTAGTATAGGAAGAGGGGTGTGCTCTCTTATTACACAAAGTCCAGAGCCCATGAGAGGGATCACAGGTTGCTTCACAACTAAAAGAGCACCACATGAAAACCCCTCCCCACCCCCAAGATAAATGAGTCATCTTTGAGCATCTGCCAGGCCCAGAGAACTCTGACAGTGCAAGTTTCTGAGGAAATTTTCTTTTCCTGTACCACCAGTCTTTCCTTTAGCTCCACCCTGGAAGAATCAGAAACTGACTGGCAAACTTGGGATGAGAGGTTCTACTGGAGAGGAAGCATCAAAATTAGCTATTTGATCTCATTCCTTTCCCTACTATAGACTTCTACAAACCTAAAGAGGTCCCTAACTAGATGAGAGACCCAGATTTTATCTTATATCAAGTGTGGGGTTTTGATTGAGACCCAGTCACAGTGGGGAGGGGAAGAGAATCATTAACCTGTGACTGACTTACCAATTAGCAGCTTTTGAATCATCCAGAAGAGGTAATACATAGTTGGTATTTGAAGAGAAGTTTTACATGTGGATGAAACCCAGGGGACAATCTGGAATGAAAGATGAGAAAACTCTGGCAGACTTGATCTTGGCTTTGAGGGCACTCAAGTTCTAGCCAATTATTGAGTCATATGTCAGATTATTTGTGCCTTTAAAAGAAATTTATTAATTTTATTTTAAAGTCAGAGTTAGAGAGATATTTGATCTGCTGATTTACTTTCTAAGTGGCCACAATAGGCTGGTGTTGGACTAGACTGCAGCCAGGCTCTCCCATGTGGGAGCAAGGGCCCAAGCACATAAGCCCTCCTCCATTATTTTCTCAGGTTCATTAGATCATCTAGAGTCATTCATTCATTCATTCATTCTTCATCTAGATCAGAAATGAAGATGCCAGGGTTTGAACTGGTACCCTTACGGGTTGCTGGCTTTGTAGGTGGTGGCTATTTGTACTGCACCACTGGTCCCTATTTGTACATTTCTAAATGTGGGAAGCATGATAGCCTTAAAGAAGATCGTATAAAGTGTTTATATACTGCTGATTTTCACATGGGAGCTTTTGCCAGTAATACTTTACAGTGAACATTGCAATGAATAGATTACAGTTTTAAGCAGGACTAGTCATCATTATCATTATTTTTTCAAAACTATCAAACAAACAAAAGTGAAATTCCTCCCCATCTAGAATAGTGCCTTATGTCTTTTGTTTGATAAATAATTATTAACATTTGTAACAGATATTTATAAAAGAAACGCGTAGATTTTTAGCATTTTCTGTTCAGTTTTTCTTCTGCTACTCAATGCAGTCTTTGTATATATTCTATTATTTCAAAATAATATCAGAAATGTTTAATAAGGTTTATTAGATTTTTCTTGAAACCGTTGGTGCTTAGATATTTGACCAAATTAAATTTTGAGTATGAATTTAAGTATCACCAAACCATAAAATCTTCTATTTTATTGTGCCAAAGAGCAACAAAAAATAATTATTTGTAGCTGTATTGAATAATTTGAAAGAAAGTAAATAAGTTTCACTGAATTTGGAATCCAGTGATTTAGAAATAATTTAAATGTTTTTAATGACAGACTACACAATTAGCGTTAATTTGCATCCTTTACAAATGCAATTGAAGACTGAGGACACAGGTTGCTAACTTTTTCACTCTTGTTATTATACATGATATGTAATTTGCTCTTAAAAATAGAGCATTGAACAGGTCAACAGATTTTTAAATCATCTTTGAAAATTAGTTATATTTCGATTAAATATTATACAGTATGGCCATCTAGTGGCTGCATTTTTAACTCATAATAAAGTTGAAGATTTAGTATCTGCTGAATGTTAACGTCAAATTGTATCAGATATCTATGCTCTGTGAACATTAGAACACAGTTTAGAAAAATGGAAATTCTATGTAGGGTGAAAATTGCTAATTCGTACACAATATTTTTTAAAATTTAATTGTCAAAGCCACAATTTACAGTTATAAAGAACCAAGTTCTAAATATATTACACATTTTTACATAACTACAAGTTTAAGATTTTCAACATGTAGAAATGATAAAAATTTAAAGAGATGGAAATGCTAATTACCCTGATATGAATCATTCTTTGTATACACATATTGAATTATCATTACACTGTGCCCTGCAAATGTATAAAATATTATCTGTCAATTTAAAAAAGCAGTATTGGGGAGATAACTAGAGATTTACTAGTAGAATGGAATGCTAATATTTATGCAGTTAAAACTTTTCTCAGTCTATTTTGAAAAATCTAGTGTTTATATAAAGTCTTCCCATAAATAAAGCACATGGTTGTTGAACTCTGTGTATAAATCATTGACAGTGTGTTCATTGAAAACGCTGATTTGAATGTGAGTAGGCCTAGGAATCTGTGCTTCAAGGTCATGAATAATTACTAGACAAACAAAATTTTTGATATTATATACTCCAAGATCATAGAATAAAATATGTTAACACCTTAAGAAGATTCTATATATACATTTAACTCATTTAAAATGTTAAATATTTGATAGGAAAAGAACATATAAAATGAGTTTATAATTTTCTCAACAAGATTCTGAAAAATAATAGAGCAAAGAAAGAAGCTAAAAATAAACCATAAAGGCAATGTCTCCTTTTAAATTAGTGTAATATCAGATGATATGCTTAAGTGCTTTTAATGTATATAACATTTGCTAAATACTGATTTTTTTTTAAAGGATTGTTAAATTAGCATAAACTGTAACCACATATTTTTTTCCCTGTTGTCTCACTGTAATTGGGTCTGGTACTCAGACTCTCCATCCTCATTTGTAAACTAAATGTTTCCTCCTAGGTGTTTGGGGTAGATGACAATCAGGATTATAACAGGCCTATTATTAATGAGAAGCATAAAGATCTGATAAAGGAATGGGCTGTCAGTTCTGCTGCAGTCATAATGGAAGAGAGGAAACCACTGACCACACCTGGATTTCACAGCTCAGAGGTATACATCCTTGCCATGAAGTTTTCACATGTGTAGAGTGAACATTTTTATTATTTCTAAATTATATTATTTCAAATAATTGCTATATCCATTCATAATGCTTTTAAAAAGTAAATTTTTACACGTTAACTTTCTAATGAAAGCCTAAAGCGATTTTGTAGAGTTCAATTTTAGTTTTTATAATGTTCGTTGAATTGGTATTCTTTTGTCAACAAGGATAGCAGTACATTTCTGTAAACTAATGTCATGCTCATTCTAATTAGCACTGTGTGACAAAATAAGATGCATAAGTTACCCTCTGGTACATACTACTCATATTTCATAGTGAGTTCCTGGGCAGAACACCCTAGGACATCATTTGTAGAGTTAATAATTAATTAAGGATGCCATGGATAAGATAGCTATGGAGTCAATGTGGGATCTGAGGGATTGTCAGAAAATCCACGGAGCTTACATATTATGGAAAAACTATGCTGAAATTTTAAAAAGATTTTTGTACCAAAATAATTACTTTTTATTCCATGTGTCATTAAATGTTTATTTGTTTAAAATTGTATTTATTTTTTAATTGGAAAAGCAGAGTTAGAGGAGCAGGGAAAGGATAGAGAGAGATCTGTCACCCACTGCTCCACTATCCAAATGTCCTCAAAGCCAGAGCTAGGCTGGTCTGAAGCCAGGAGCCAAGAGCTTCATCTGGATTTCCTATATGTTAGGCATCCTGCCTGTGTTCCTAAGTACATTAGGAAGCAGTTGGATCAGAAGTGGATCAACACTGATTAAAACTGGTACCCATATGGGATACCAGCACTGTGAGTGGCAGCTTTACTTGCTATGCCACAGTGCTAGCCCCACATTGAAAGTTTTGAAGTCCCCTCATAATAGAGCTGCAACAACCTGCATGTAAATCCCAGAACTGCAGGCTAAGCACAATAGCCTAGCGTCTTGCATGTGCCAGCATTCCATATGGGCGCCGGCTCATATACCAGATACTCCACTTCCATTCCAGCTTCCTGCTTGTGGCCTGGGAAAGCAGTCAAAGATGGCCCAAAGCCTTCGGACCCTGCATCTGCGTGGGAGACCTGGAAGAAGCTCCCGGCTCCTGGCTTCAAATCGGCTCAACTCTGGCCATTTTGGCCACTTGAGGAGTAAACCAGCAGATGGAAGATCTTTCTTTTTGTGTTTGTCCTTCTCTCTGTGAATCTGATTTTCCAATAAAAATAAATCTTAAAAAAAAAAAAATCCCGGAATTGCTACTTCTAGCTGAATATCTTTTAGTTATTCACTTCTTTTCTGTTTTTCACATTGCCATCTATACAGTGTTAATTTTGATAAAAACATGATTACAGAAAATTCAATGATGTTTATCACCAGCATAATATTTGGTGATGTTGTTCAACAATATTTAGTCTTACTGAAAATGATACTAGAATTTTCTTCCACATTGATGTGTCAAAGAAAAATAAAGCATTTGCATGGCAGAAATCTTAATTATTACATATTCAGGTAAGAGTTAGCCTTCAGTGGACTCTTTGTATGCCTTGGCGAAAGTGAAGTACGTAGAAGTTACCTGATGAAGCTCTTAGACTAGTAGTGTGTGCAGCCAGAATCTGAACCTTGAGCAGCCTTTATCTTCCAACTCACCCTTGTATTCACGCTCTACTGTCTCTCAGAAAATGATCTAATTTATAATATACAAATAGTATGTAAGCATAAACTTTAAGTTAAAAAACATCAAAGTACAATATAAATATAACTCGTGTTCCATTTGCATAAAAGACAAACAAAATCCTTATAAATAGATAAGTAATCCCTTATACTTAGTCATTATAAATCTTTATAAAATACATATATAGATAAAAAGTTTATCAATATATAGCAAGAAATCTTTGGGACAATGTAGTAAATTAAACCCTTTTTTCCTAAGGCATTTTAAAAATTTATTTAAAAAGCAGGCTTACAGAGATCTTCATCCACTGGTTTGCAAATAGCTGTAACAATCAGGACTGTGTCAGCTAGAGGCCAGGAGCTTCATTCGGGTCTGCTACATAGATGATAGGGGCTCAACCACTGGGCCATCTTCTGCTGCTTTCCCAAGTGCATTAGCAGGGAGCTGGATTGTAAGTGGAGCAGCCAAGACTCACACTAGCACTCATTTGGAATGCTTACATTGCAGGTGGGGCCTTAATGTGTACACCCAATTCCATCCCCTTAAATTTTATTTTATGCTTGAGCTTAAAGGTTCAAAAACTTCTTATCTTTTTCCTTTTTAATTGAAAAGACAGATTTACAGAGATAAGGAGGGACAGAGAGAAAGATCTTCCATCTGTTATTCCAATCCTTAAATGGCCACTAAGGGCTAGAGCTGAGCCAATCCAAAGCCAGGAGCTTTTTCCAGGTGGGCCTCATCAGTGTAGGGTCCCAAGGCTTTGGGGCATCCTCCACTACAAAAAGCTCTTAAGGAGAGAGCAGGAAAGGGAACATTCTAGGTCTAAAGTTAGATTGGTTTCTAGCTTCTTAGGGAAGTTAAATGTTGCAAAGAAAAGTCTAAAATTTCAGGTTTTTGAAATCCCTGAGGATATGGCCAAACAGGTCTTTCTTCCTAGGGATGTTTAGAGGGCTGGAGAATCTCTTGGGAACAGATGTTTAGACAACCCTTTTTTCATACTGATGTAGAACAAACAGACCCCTGATCTGGCCCAAAACCTGATACGTAGATATGCTAGTAAAATTTAAGCTAGTGTAATAAATTTTAAGCTTCAAGGGTTCTAGCACTGTTAGTATTTTAAAAGTAGAGGACACTGCACTATATACATACATAGTAACAGTAAAATATTACTAAAGGGGTTACCTAAAATAGCTTTGTTTTATATATGAGGAAATACAATAAAGGAGAAACCCAGTAAGGTTCAGTTTAATTGTGGCTCTGTAAGACATGTCGGTGTGATCAAATGTAGTGCACTTTCATGAGAATCAGTTTTGACCAGAGTACAGTCATTTCATTGTTCTGTTTTTCAGCTTCAGGAAGCTACGTCTTCATCTGGAAGCAAACGTTGGGTTTCACAGTGGGCTAGCTTGGCTGCCAATCATACAAGGCATGATCAAGATGAAAAGATGGAATTATCTGCACCTGTTCCTTTTGAAAATGGTATTTTCCCTCCTTCCCACCCATCCCTTTTTGAGAATCAGGTATCATGTATTTGTTATTGTCATTAGAAAGCTAAATCTGTTTAGTAAGACGTAAACTAAACCTAAGTAATATATTTATGTATTATAGTGCTTTTATTACATTTATTGTTAGAGGTGAAAAGCTGATTTTTATTAGACATTTTGTTTTTAAAGTAATTTAAGCAGAAGGAGAACATTTTTCTTTAAAAACAACTTTGTAGACTTCGTAAGTTGAAACTTCCTAATGACAGACTTACAGTTAACCTGGAGTTAATACTTACTCTGCAGGTAGATAGCAATGCTTATTTAAAACTAGGTGTGTTCTTCTCTACAGTGTAGTTCAAATTACGGCAACTGAACAGTCTTTGACAGATTCTGTGTAATTCTGTAATATGAATATGCTGTGGCATTCTGTTTTCTTGAGCCAACTTCAAGAATGGAAAGTTAACAAAAATAGAAATGAGCACAGTGTACTCCGCTGCTATTAAGTATATTAAGAAGAGAGCAACATATAGATTTAATATCACATAAACTTTGTATACCCAGATGTCTATGATTTTACAGATTTCTTTCTTTGGAAAAGCAAAGTTTTAGAGAGAGAGAAGGAGAAATGGAGACATCTCTTTCATTCAGTGCATCACTCACCGAATGTCTGCAATAGCTGGAGTTGAGCTAATCTGAAGCTCTGGGTCTCCCATGAGGTGTAGAGGCTCAAACACTCAGGTCATCTTCCACTGCCTTCCCCAACACATTACCAGGAAACTGGAACAGAAGTGGTGCAGCTTTAACTCTAGCTGGCACACATGTGGAATGCCAGTGCTGTAGCCCCAGTGCCTATGATTAATAACAGTTTATTTTCTCCTTAAGATTGCTGAGGGCCTGATGCAATAGCGTACTGGCTAAATCCTTGCTTTGCATGTGCTAGGATCCCATAATGTGCCAGTTTATGTCCCAGCATCTCTACTTCCCATCTAGCTCCCTGCTTGTGGCCTGGGAAAGCAGCAGAGGATGGCCCAGGGCTTTGGAACACTGTACCCATATGGGAGACCCAGAAGAAGCTCCTGGTTCCTGCCTTCTGATTAACTTGGCTACTACCATTGCAGTCACTTGGGCAGTGAACCAGTGGACAGAAGATCTTTGTCTCTGCTTCTCTCTGTATATCTGCCTTTACAATTTAAAAAATTAATTTAAAAAAAAAGGATTGTTAAGGGTCTACATTTTAAATGTTCTTACCACAATGAAAATGAGAAGGATATGAGGTAATGGATATGTTAATGAATTAGCCATTCCTCTGTGTATATACATTTAATTAAAACATAATTAAAAATAAAAATATTAAAGAAAATAAGATTGGCTGTTTCATTTTTCATTTCATACAGTTTGCTTTTCTGGACCTTTTGAACAGGCAGCATGTTAACCTGTTTATCTTAGCATTGTAATTGTTTTGTTATTCTTTTTATTTTTTTATTTGAAAGAGATCCTTCTTTTTTTGCTGGTTTACTTCCTAAATGTTTGTAACAGGCAGATTTGGACCTGGCCAACGTCAGGCTCCTGGAACTCAATTTAGGATGGGAATCTGGGCAACTAATACTTGAGCCATGAGTTAGCAGGAAGCTGGAAGCCAGAGAGCAGGGGCTTCCGACGGACTGTGATAGTGGGATGTTCTGTAACTGCTCGGTCACAGTGCTGATTCATGTGGTTTTTAAACTGACACTTCAAGATCTAATATAGCATGATGTTCTTTAATTTTTTGTTTCTTGCTCTAATGCTGTGATTTTTATTTTATAGATACCGATATCAGTGAATCTGGCATTTCGGTGAGAAGTACTGGCTCTGTAGCTTCCCTGGCTAGTCAGGGAGAGAGAAGGAGGCGGACCCTTCCCCAGCTTCCAAATGAGGAGAAGTCTCTTGAGAACTCCAGAGCAAAAGTTACAGCCCAGAGGTCGGAGATCGGAGAAAAACAAGACACAGAACTGCAGGAGAAAGAAGCACCTACGCAGGCCCTCCAGAAAGATAAACAGGATACTGACAGAAACCTTAATAAAATGAGCAGGGCTGTGAATGGTGAGACCCTTAAAACTGGTGGAGATCATAAAACCCTACATCACTTAGGACACCCTGCTACAGGAAAGGAGAGAAATGAAAGTGATAAGGAAACTTCCTTGGTGAAGCAGACACTAGCAAAAATTCAACAAGAACAGAAGGAGCAGGCCCAGTGGGCACCTACTAAACTGTCGTCGAAAACTCTTTCAAGCCAGATAGACCAGTGTACGGAAGAATCTTTGAAACAAGATTCGCAACCTCAAGAAAAAATGACAGGACCTTCTACAAGCAAAGGAGAAAGGGTGACACAAAATGAGAGTAAAAGAAGAAAAGCTGAGGAAAGTTTGAAAAGTCAGACTTCAAAGGGAGGAGATAAAAAGGAATCCTCCAAGTCCTTAGTGCGACAGGGGAGCTTCACTATAGAAAAGCCTACACCAAACATACCCATAGAACTTATTCCCCATATAAACAAACAGACCTCAACTCCCCCCTCTTTAGCCTTAACCTCTATAAATCGGATACGAGAAAGAAGTGACTCTTTGGATACTGATTCTAGTATGGATACAACCCTTATTCTAAAAGACACTGAAGCAGTAATGGCTTTTCTTGAAGCTAAGCTGCGTGAAGATAATAAAACTGATGAAGGCCCAGATACACCCAGTTATAATAGAGACAATTCTATTTCACCAGAATCTGATGTGGATACAGCTAGTACAATCAGCCTGGTGACTGGGGAGACTGAAAGAAAGTCAACCCAAAAACGAAAGAGTTTCACTAGTCTCTATAAAGATAGGTGTTCCACAAGTTCTCCTTCCAAAGATGCTACAAAATCATCATCTTCAGGTGCTAGGGAGAAAATGGAAAAGAAAACAAAAAGTCGATCCACAGACGTCAGTTCAAGAGCAGATGGTCGTAAATTTGTACAATCCAGCGGAAGGATACGGCAGCCTTCAGTGGATTTAACAGATGATGATCAGACCTCTAGTGTACCTCATTCTGCCATCTCTGATATTATGTCATCTGATCAGGAAACTTACTCTTGCAAATCTCACGGGAGGACTCCACTTACCTCAACTGATGAACATGGACATTCCAAACTGGAAGGCAGTAAAGTAACAAAATCCAAGATTTCTCCTGTAGCATCTGGTTCATCCAGTAAATCGACCACTCTTCCAAGGCCACGACCTACCAGGACATCCCTCTTGCGCAGAGCCCGCCTGGGTGAAGCTTCTGACAGTGAACTTGCTGATGCTGACAAAGCATCTGTTGCTTCTGAAGTGTCCACAACAAGTTCCACATCCAAACCTCCCACAGGAAGGCGAACTGTCTCTCGGATTGATTTATTAGCTCAGCCTCGTAGAACAAGGCTTGGCTCGTTGTCAGCTCGTAGTGACTCTGAAGCCACGATATCTAGAAGTAGTGCCTCTTCACGTACCGCAGAAGCCATCCTTAGGAGTGGAGCCAGATTAGTACCGTCAGATAAATTTTCTCCTAGAATTAGAGCTAACAGTATCTCTCGACTCTCAGACTCCAAGGTCAAAAGTATAAGCTCAACTCATGGCTCTCCTTCAGGTAATTTGGATCCAAAATTTTAATGACGTGAACATGTTTTATGTTTGGGGGCTCCTTTTTGAAGAAAATAGATTTCTGGGTGTTGTGTTTCTAAAGTATTCAATAGTTTGCTTTTATATAAAGAATTTGGTCTAAAAATTTAACTTAGCAAATCAAAAGTTCAGAAGTTGTACATTTTGAGTGAAAGTCCTGCAACAGAATAGTGATTTCAAAATCGGAAATTCATTGAACTCAGTTAAGAATTTTTTTTTCCAGCTGGTGACATAACTGGATTTGTGTTTCAAAACTAGATTTGAAATTACTAACTAGTTTTAATAGGAATTAACACTCTGCTTCTAAAGCATGTGTTTAAATATCTTCATAGAATTCAAAACCCATATGAACCTGAAAAAAAGCAGTGTAACTTTTGTTAGTCTTCTAAGAGTTGATTGAAATAATCAATGTTTTACTTTTCTCTACCTATTTTGAAATATTTCTTATCCTTTCCTTTACTTATGTTTTCAAAAGTTAAATCTGTTGATAGTTGGTGAAGGTGAAAACTAACTCTTGATTTATTTCAGTGAAAGAAGATCAATTTCTGGGGCAGTTATTAAGGACATATGTGTCAGACCAAGTATCTGTAGTAATTAGCCGGAATTGAATGTAGTAACTCAGATTACTCTCCATCAGAATCTACCTGCTTTTGGCTTATCTGCCTGTATTTACTACTTCATATTCTGAGTTAAAACCATTGAGAATATATGTAGGATCAATAAGTAATGAGGTGGATATTTATATGTCTACTGTATACCTGATCTCATTACTTCATAATCAGTCTTGTATTATGGGCGTGGCTGAAATCAACAGTGGGGAGAGTCCAGCTGTCACATGACTTGAAAATGTGTGGGTATTGTCAGTTAACAAACATATGAGTGAACTCTAAGGCTTGAGTTATGATTGGAGGGGAAGTTGGTATACAATCTTATATTTTATTTTTGTTTGATTTGACATTTACCATGATACATTCAGAAGATTCAAAAGTAGTGGTATTTTGATATTATGTTTTAGTCTTCCCTTCTCTGCTCCTGCTTTCCTCTACCTCCTTACTGTTCCTTCTCTCTGTTGATCAGTATGTTTTATAGTGATAATCATAGTAAGTGGTAGCAATGAAAGTAGGTTGATACTAGATATCTAATAATGGTTCATGTAATCACAGTTCCAAAAAGAAGAGATAACACCTTCCTTATTATCACAGTCTTTCTAGGCACACTTCAAGCTTTGGTTGCTGGTTCCTGAATTTATTGCCAAGTGTTTAAAACTGATTACTGTCTTTTGGCGTATGTTTACCCAATAATGTTATTTTGTTGTCTCTTATGGCTCTACCTCTTCAGTTCACATTTCCGTTGTGCTCCATTCTATTGTGTGTTCTCAGAAAACTTCATCTGCCTCACTGTTTGATTGCTCATGATTGCTCATCTGCAATTGAAGCACATTAAAATGTTTATTTTAAATTTTGAAGCACATTAAATATTTATTTACCTGTTCTGTGTGTTAACATGCCATACTATGAGTCGTGTATTAACAAGTAGCATGGAACAGCTCTTCTTTACTAGTTGAAAGCTCTTAACACAAGGATGATTTGGTTTTGAGGTGCAACCAATCATAATTACTCCAGCAAGTCAGAGCAACAACTGTAAGACACTGTATGTGTTTATGTGTAAAAATATAAACATGCATGTATATATACAGTTATATAAACAAATTTGTCTTCTTTGAATACAGATTTTGATAAACATTCAGATTTCTATGTTCAAAAAAATTCTCTAGGGAAAATTTAAGATACATAATTTTGAGCTTCTTTATACTTATATATTTTAAAATTTATTTTTCTTGAAAGAATTAGAGAGAGAAGGAGAGACAAAGAAAGGTCAGCCTCCATGAGTTCACTCCCCACATGGCTGGAATGGCTACAGCTGAGCCAATCCAAAGCCAGGCACCAGGAGCTTCTTCCAGGTCTTCTACGTAGTGAGGGGTCCCTAGGCCTTGGGCCATCCTCTGTTGCTCTCCCAAGCATTTAGCAGGGAGCTGGATCAGAAGTTGGGCAGCTGGGACTCTGAATTCCTCACCATTTTGGCTACTATTCATACTTACTTACCAGTATATAAAATAATTAGAATCAAGAAATTTTTTAGGGAACCAAAATCAAGAAGTGAAACAACCTGCTACAGAAGTCAGCTTTTATTATTGCCATGAAATGCCTAAGGTAAAGAATTTTATTTCAAGCAAATGTTTATTTAGCTATTACCTCTGTAGGCTTATTCCAAAGTTAGGCAGTCCCAATGGTTTGGCATTGGTGAGAGTGGCAAATCACTGTGGGGACATGCTTTCAGAGGAAGGATTTCGTAGCAAGCTCAGAAGCAGAGAGATATGCTGGGGCCCAGCTTAGGCTTTAAGAACCAATTCTTTTGTCAGAACCTTCCAGGACACACCTGCTCACTTGCTCAGGACCTCTCTCATTGGGCTCACCTCCTAAATGTCATAATTGAACTAAATTTCATCCTTCTAGTCCCATTTACTTTTGACTTTGGAAGCCAAATCATTTTCAAACTATAGCCCCTGCCTTGGTCAGTGCTATAATTGGGCTGGCAGGAAGAAAATTTGAAGCTTTTAATCCCCAACCTCTTGCTCCTCAACTACATTTATTTTAGATCTAAGAAATAGTTTGAAATAGCCTATGTTTGTGCAAACTTTGAGGATGTGGCCAGAATCTATTAGCTTATCATCAGAAATATGTACACCCCCTAGTTTAGCTTCCTGCTAATGTCCTGTGAAAAGCAGAGGAAAGGAGCACGGGTGTCTGGGCCTATGCCACTGCTGTGCACCTGAAGCTCCTTGCCCAGCCTTGGCACTTGCTACCTTTTGGAGATCAATAAAGGGAGAGAACATTCATTCTCTTTTTCTTGTTTTCGTTCTCTAGCTCCCTCACTCTCTCTCTAACTTTTTCAAAATAAATATATATATCTTTCAAAATAACACACACATACACACACAGGAATGAATTTTGAACTCTAGGAATTAGTACAGTTTAGCTTATTCTTCAGTTTAAACAAGGGGGAACTTCTCTCTGAGACTCTTTCTTCTTGTAAGTAGAAAATTTTAGATAATGTAGTTTCTAAAGGTGTTTTCTGAAATTCCATAATATTTGCAGATTTTGGAAGACAGCTGAAACTTTCCTACTTGAAGTTTCTCTGTCTAAAGTATTAGATAATAGGAAATTTTCTTCAGATAAAATATATTAGCTGCAGATAATTTGGAAGGAAAGATTAAGAAAATAAAGTATTTTCAAAGAAGTTCTTTGAGAAATAAAGTTTTAGAGGCCCCAGTCCTGGCATTAAACTTCTGATCAGCTCTACTCTTTGCTGTTACAAAGGCTAGGTGGTTTACAGAGGTAACCTGAGCTTTTTTTTGTAGTACACCATGTGTATATTTTTCATTGATAAAGATAATCCCTAATTACTTGAAAGATTATTAACATTTTTCATTTTTCTACTGTACTCTGCTTATTTTGCCTTAAATTGTGATAAGGCAAGTCTTATATTATTTTTAAAATATATGCAGCATTTACACATTAAAATAGATTTCTTAAGATATTTTTAGAGACTTTTCTGACTTCTAGATGAAAGTTTGTCAAAAGCTTATGTAAAGGAAATTTGATTTTACCTTGTTTCCTTAAATTTTGCCCAAAGTCTGAAGACACAGACACACAGACTATTGAAAGTTAGTTTTAATGTGCTTATACATATATGTATACATATATATAGTCAGTTGCTATTTACCATATATTAATAGCAAATAGTACTTATTTTTCATTCTGTGTTCATATACTGTGCCTCTCATGAAGTGTATCAGCTATTGATCCTATCCTGTCTAGTTTACCTATGAAGTAGCTACTCTTCTCATCACATTTACTTGCATTTTTCATTTATTCTGAAATTTATTAAAGCTTTTTGTTACTGGTTTTATTTTATTGTTAGTTTGCAATTAAGTGTGGTGACTATAGTGCCCAATCAAATGAAAAAGGAAATTTGATCTAAGAAATGATATTTTTCTTATTTATAAATAATAATAGATGTCAAAATAAACATTTAGTATTTGATGAAATGTCTTTATTTCTTGAAAAAGTAAAATAGTTACTGTATTTCTGAGTTTTTTCTAAGATATCATTGGTCTTCTAAACTTTTTCTGAAATTATGTTTAGGTCTTAGGGTTACTTTAATTCTTGGAAATTTTCTCATGTCTAGAAATAAGTAACTTTCCACCATGGAAAATTTTTGTCTGTTATTTACCTTTCAGTGTTGAAACCATAAATTATATGTCACCTTTCCAAAAAATCATTGATTTTAATACCTGGAGCTCTGTCTATATGTTAATAATGCACTTTCTGATAGAGCCATGAAGTTTCTGCATTTGTTCATGTTCTGATGCCTCTGGGTCTTGTTGCAAAAGCCAAGAGTTCCTACTAGCATTGTGAATCAGGACAAATGTGTAGGCTTTCATTCATGGATATTCTGATAGATTTTTCTGTGTCTTAAGCCAACTTTGGTGATTACATATGTCAATTTTAAGTAAAAGTCAACTCAATATTAGAGAAACCAAGCAAAAATGTCATTTTTAAAACATAGCAAGTAAAAGAAAAGCCAAATCATCTCCATTACTCCTCAGGCAGATTGACAAAGGCTGCAGTGGAATGTTAAAGCTTAGAATTCCAAAGTAAAAATGAAAATGTCATTTTGAAATTGGGGAAGAGGGACAAATAGAACAGCAGAGGGATGTGGTAAGTGTATCACTCTGCTTCTAAATCTGCACTGTGAAATGTACTCATTAAAGGGCCAGAAAATTCTAAACTTCATCAGTTTACATAGGTTAGTATCTATTTCTGATAGAGACATAAAGTTCTTACAGGATCAACAACGGTTGAAATGTACAGCAGGTATTAAGCTCTAAGTGCTCACAGCATCTCATGGTTAGAGAACATATCTGTCTGGAAGTTTCTGCATTTATTCAAAAATGTTCGTTAAACATTGACTGTTCAGATATTTGCTAGGTATATGGATAGATTAAATAGATATGGTCCCTGCCCTTCTCAGGTTTGCTGTGAATTAGCCATGATCTCCTTGGTCTTTTTAAACTTCTGTTTATATTTCATGAGTAGTTGTATGTATTTGGTTTTCATATTACAGTAGTAGTTAAGTGTCTGCATTGTCTTCTGATTTTTCTAACGTGTCAGCAATGCCATTTTTAAATGTCTTTATTAACCTTAAATAAGAAAGTGCTACTTTCTTTATGTGACTTTCCACGGTATTTCCTGTGCCTTGAATGTCAATGGTTGTGAGAATAGCTTTTAGTTTGGCTCTGTAGATTTTATGCCATTGTCTATTTTCACCATATGCTTTCAGTGTCAAAGCAGCAAAGAGTTGTACTGAAGATGCCTTGTTGTGTTTTTTACCATGTAAAAAGATTTTTTCCAACCATAGCATAACAGGATGTTGAATGACAGAGGTAATGTTGTTTTTTTCTGCCATAAAGGCATAATTTCCACAGCAGGAATTATGCATATTTGTATGTTGGGAAAAGAGTGTATTTTACCATCTCCATGTTAAAAAGTCCATGTGGCATGAGGAAATCTTTTCCCTTGTTTTTATTTTTGTTGTTGTTGATGTTGTTGCTGTTAATTCTTTTAAGACCCATATCTTCCACTCTAATGAACGCTATTTACAATTTGGAAGTACTCAAGTTAAGCATTTATCAGTAGAGCTTGCCTAGTTGTTTTTCATTAGTGAAATTTTTCATCTGAATGTTTATTCACTACACTCTGGAAAACACAGTCTCTTGGTTGTGTTTAATTATTCATTGTTTTTAATTCACCAAAGTGTAATGTTTCTATCTTTAAGGAGTAGTAAACGTATGATTTTTGTGAGGTATGTGTATGTCAGTTATTGAGAATTGTGCTGTGTGTGCGCTCTCATGGTGTTTTTGAAGTCATGATTTTTATTTTTTTCTCCTTTAAATGATAACATAATAATTCTTTTTTTAATAATTAAACTAATTTAGTAAATTCAAGATGGAGGCGCTTTCCTACTGATTATGCTTCCACCTCAGAAGATGAATTTGGATCAAACCGTAATTCCCCTAAACATACTCGTCTACGTACTTCTCCAGCCCTGAAAACCACTCGCTTGCAGAGCGCCGGATCAGCAATGCCTACTAGTTCTTCATTCAAACACCGGATTAAACAACAGGAAGACTACATCCGAGACTGGACCGCTCATCGAGAAGAAATAGCCAGGTTGGTTTTAAGAAGCTATCTTTGTGTATAAGAATTTGGCATCATCTCAAATTTAGTTTTCCTTGATATTTTTTAAAGGGGAATATTCAGCTTTTTTTCTTTCTTTCTTTTAAATAATAATGCTAATAACATATTGTGGAGCCATTTGTTTTCATTTTCCCCTCCTCCTTGTAAAATTTCTAGTTCAGATGTTAATGAATAAGTCTCATTTTGAAAGGTAGTCAGTATGAATTCTACCTAATTAAGAATGATACAGGAAATTTGCTGATTATTTTCCTTTGTATTTCCAAAGATATGATAATACACTTATTAGAGATATATTGCTAGGGTTCTCTCAGAAGAATTAGAATAGGCACATTTTTAATAGCAGGTTAAATTAAACTTTAATAAATAAATCAGAGCATTGCTATTTTGATGGTCAAATTAACCAATTTATGATTATTATCTTCAGGCAAAAAAGGAAATTTCATGCTGCAAATGTGATTTTTAATTAATAACTCACTGTACTCAACAATAAACTGAGAGGGTATAGTTAAACAGATTTTCTTTATTTAATCTTTGCATGTTGTTACGTTTGTAGCATAACATATATTCAGTATTTTAACAGATGCATATTAAAATTATTTCCACTCTTACTTGGAGACCCTGGCCTTTTAGCAGCATTAATAAGAAACTTTTGTATAATTGTCTACCACTTATATGGTGTTTGTTTACTTTGTTGACTTCTGTGCATTGTGCTTTTCTGGCTTATGTTAATGTTTTAATGTTTCGATTTTTTTAGATGACTGTTCACTTGTAATTGTTGTTATTCATGAAGCATACCCTTCAGTCATGTGCTGCTTAAAACATTTTTGTTTTACACTGCAAATAGCTCTCAATAAGACTAATTTTAAAACATTTTAAGCCATTTAGAGGAACCAGAGTACTGTGAAAGGCTCATGGAAAACGGAACTAATAGGCAAGCATAGTTGGATGCAAAAAACTATATATATACATTCTCTGTGAACTTTTTGAAGACCCCCCTCATGTGCTTCTGGATCCACATGGATCTGTATGGGCCCACAAAGTGTCTACACAAAAAAGTATCTAGATACATTTTGTTTTGGGCACAGCTGGTGACAAATCTTGGTTTTGCTTCATTATTTAATTACCCTCCCTTCCAGTGGAGGAAACATCCAGTTTCACAAGGTCAAATGGTGCCTTGGGCATTTAGATTCATAACATTCATGTCAAATTCACATTATCTTCCACTTTTATTCTGCACCAAACCTCTTAAACCCCCTGGTACATCTGCCTCAGGGGCCTGCCACCTTGGGCTGTCTGTTCCCTCAACTGGGAAGACTAATGACCTCCTCTGAGCCAAACCCACTTCCTTTTTTCAAGTAGCAAAGAGTTACATACAAAGGGAAGAGAATGAGCTGAACATTGTGTTTTCGCTTGATTCCATTTGCTCCATGCTTGACATTACTGTTTCTGTGTATGCTGTTACCATCAATATGTTCCCAAGGTCAGGTTATTTAATTAATAACAGTTTTCAGGACTTTCCCCTCCAAGTTTGTTAGTAGGACTGTGCTAGCAAACGTTCCTTCTGTACTTTCAATTTTTCAAGGTGTATTCTTCAGAAATATATGCCTTGGTATGATTTTTTTAAATTTATGGAGAATGAAAATAGGTAAAGATGAAAAGATAAAGTATAAAAGGAAAGAAAATGAGTGGTGGTTGAAGTTCCTTAAAATCATGTCATTTGCCCAACATGAGGAAGTTTATTTTCTAGGGGCTGGGACTTACAGGCTACACAGAATGTCAGAAATAATTTTACTTCTTTCTGGGCTATTACTAACAACTATTCATATGCTGGAAACAATATTTATTGGCATGTTATAGCTATGAATATTTTATTGGAAAAGTGTAGCAATGGATTTTAAGTACAAAAATATTTTATGTTTTTTTTCAAAATCAGAACTGTTCTGCTTGACCAGTACTTTATCAATCTGTCCATGGTAATTATTTACCTACGTTTAAATTTGAAGCAGAAAAACAGTCAATCTAGAGTATAAAGTAAATGAGTAAATGTCATGTAGTAATTCAATTTGAAGAAACTTTTTCAGAACACGCCTGATGCATACTTTTGTAGTTCTTATCTCAGTTTTTCTATTGTAACACTGATAAAAATTTCCTGCCAGTAGTATTTTTAGTATTTTTGTGAATATTAAGGTAAATAGAACTATTATACCACCTTTACACATGACCAAGTAAGATACATGTAATCCAAAATTTCTGCTGGAAGATTTAAAATTTTCCATTTAAATCAGAAAGCATTTAGAGACATTTTAGTAGTTCAGGATTCATTGTTATATCATTATATCATATTTTAGAAGAATTTCTGGTTAACCATTTTTTCCTAGGGGTTCAAAAGCAGTTCATTCTGGATATAAGGAAGCTTCATTATTTTCATGTAAAATAGACTAGGTTAAGTTCATTTTGGTGTAGAAAAATTTGGAAATCCATGCAAAACAAAGAAGGAAAGGTATGTGTAACTGGTGCAAGTCAAGGTGCTATAATACAGGTTTTTGTTTTTTAAAGTATGATGCTTGCAACCTCTATGTCTGTGGCAGGCTGCAGGCGGATCTTAGTGGCTGCACTAAGCTTGGCATCCACTTGAGGTGACAGCTTTTTGTGCACTGACCCCTTGCTGTGCACAACTATTGTCACTGACCCTAAGGATGTAACTGCAGGCCACCTGGTCCATCATAGGCGGGACCAGGCTCCACACTAAAGCTAGGCTGGGTTCCCAGCATGGAACTGGCTGAGAGATAGTGTGACCTCAGCATGGGTTCTTCCTCATAAGTGTTGAGGCTGCTCATGTTGTTCCAAAGAGTCTGACCCTAGTGGCCACTCGGCATTTCAGGTCAAGTCCAGCCCAGCCACCGAGGCTATGAGACGGTGGGCAAGTCAACTTTTGGCCTTAGTTTCTACTAACAGTTTCATCTACCTGCAGGTGGGAGGGAAAGCTTGAATTCTGGGGCCCAGAATAACTGCCAGTGGAGATTCTTAAAATCCCAGCTCCGAGGCTGGGATGAGCATGCCACTACACCAGACCGCTGCCATTCCACCTTAGGATGCCACTCTGCTGGCATCTACAGATGTAAGATCAAAGAAAGGAGAGGGAGGAACAGAATGAGAAGAATTTAGAATTTTCCATGAGCCATTCAAGCAGCATTTCTAAGGCTGTGAGTCCTCTGTCAGTCTTCTCTCACATTTCTGTCATGCCATCCAGCCAGGACATACTGTGAATCTGCCCCCATGAAGTTGAGAGCCTTCTGAACAGCTCCTGCCACTGCACAGGGAGACTCTACTTTGTGTACAAGGCCTGCCCTTAGTAGTGGATCAAGAGCTCACACACTGCTCTGAGCTCTGCAAGCACAGGTCCCTCAGAAGGACCAAGCTGGAGGAAGTGGAAGAAGCTGCAGATGAGAGCCAGTGTGCACAAGTTGATTGTGTGATTGGACATGTGCTGTGTCATCACCATCACCCTGTATGTTCTGGTCCTTGGATGTGCATCCATGAGATCATCAAGGAGGGGCAGTCACGGAATTCCTAGAGTGGCTCCTTTGACTAAATTGGTGCTTGTGGCCATTGGCCTCACCAAAGGACTTCCTTTAGCATACACTTGGTGCAGTGTATGTACCATTATGAAAGAAAATCAAGGCCAGGTCTGGCTAGAAGTAGTCAAAAAGAGTATTTTTAAAAATCTGTACTAATAGAGCCCAGCTCTGACAGCAAAGATGGAGGTAGAATCAGTCAACCTAACAGGAACTTACTGCCCATCTTTCTGAGGCCCTTCAGTGCACAGGTGGCTATGTTAGTGGCTTCTCTTGTTCTGACCCTTCTTGATGACTGTCTTTGGAAACCCTCCCCTCTACCAGGCTGCTGTGTGGAAAGGTAAGATATAGAAACACGTGCGGCTACGCTGGAGACCTGACTGACTTCACTGTAGTCTTGTGCTGCCAACCCTTCCAGAGGAGCCAAAGCAAAGGTTCCCTGTACACTGAGGAGAGCAGAGGAGGTGGAATGCCACAGCCGCTCCAGATGCAGGCTACTTCCTCCCTTGCTGATGCAGCCACGCAAGCTCGCCCAGGACAGGTTCTGACACTGAACAGTACTGTAAAAGTGGATATATTATGATGAAAATGTTCAATGGGATCGATACTTAAAGGAACATTATACTTAGAAGTCTTTTATGCCCTTGCTATCATCATTATCCATCCTACTAGATCTACAGCTGTTTATGTTTTAGATATTTCAGGGACTGAGACACCCACTGGGACAGCAAAATGTGCAGGTCTGAGATTTTGCACAGTAGATCCCCTGTGGAAAATGGATGCAAAGCAGCTGGTAGAGAAGTCCTGTCTTACCAGACCTGTTCTCTCATCAAAATCCTGCCCTGTATGTTTCTTCCTTTCTTCTTTTTAATCAACACTGAGAAAAGAGTTTTGAGATCTAAGTGAAAGAAAAGGAAGTTAGTAATAGGAAGGGAATCAAGTATTTAGAATCTGTTCCCTCATCAGCCACTCTGAAGGAGCAAGCACACAGACCAGCTCTAGAATGTGAACTATTGAGTGTTCCTGCACCTGCTTGCCAGCCTGCTAGCTTCTTTGTTCTGTGAAATTATCATTTGAGAGCTGCTGACCAGGAGGCAGGCTTGTTTCTTTTTTTAAGATTTGCTTTATTCTTTATTGGAAAGTCAGATATACAGATAGGAGGAAAGACAGAGGGAAGATCTTCCTTCCGCTGGATCACTCCCGCATCGGCTGCAACAGCTGGAATAGAACCAACCCAAAGCCAGGAGCCTGGAGCTTCTTCCGGGTCTCCCACGCAGGTGCAGTGTCTCAAAGCAAGGCTTTGGGTCATCCTCAGCTGCTTTCCCAAACCGCATACAGGGAGCTGGATGGGAAGCAGGGCCACTGGGATTAGAACCAGCGCCCATATGGGATCCTGGC